CGTGGCAGTGGCAAAGCAGCAGAGATGAAGCATGAGGCTGCAAAACGGACAATGATGGCTGCCCTGCCATGATTCACAAAGATTCTTTGGTTTGATAATGCTGAAAAAAATCGAAACCATTCACTATTTTTTTTGCACTTGTGCCTAGTCTAGTATTTATTTTGTTCATATAATTTTCTTAAAATATGTATGTAAAAGACAGATTCTAACAAACAAGTTTAAGTTAGGACATGTCAGTTTTGACTTTGGATTAGACTTGGTTCGTATGGAATTTGTATTATATATAGAATTGGATGTTTATTTTTAATGTTTTGGATGGTTGGAACTAGAACGTGTGCATGTTGTTGAATGCTTGAATGGTTGATAATATATTTAGCGTTGATGGGTCATATTAGGTTATATGGGTTATATTGAATCCTGTATTATGTACGTACAGGTTGTATTAAACATGGATGTAGGTTGTTTAGAATTTTTTTGGAAAAAAAAAAAAAAGTAGAAAATATTTGGCCACCAAATATTTTGGTAGCCAAATACGTAGTTGGTATTTTTTGACAACCAATAATTTAGTAGCAAAAACAATTGGCAACTAAAACATTTGGTAGCAAAAAGTAATTAATAGCTGGTTAAAATTTCCATTTACAACTTTTAGTGACTAAAACATTAGTGGCCGAAATGTCACGATTGCCGACTAACTACGGATTCGTAGCCAAATGTTAAGTTTCGGTGACTGATTCTTTCGTAGCAAAAAGTCACACCTTCCCCGACCACACGAATGGTAGTAGCCAAAAGTCACATTCGGCGACTAATAGTTTTAGTGGCCGACAGCTAACATTTGCTGACTAAAATAAATTTAGTAGGCAAATGTTACACTTTCGGCGACCAAATAAATTTTAGTCGCCAATACTATCGCCGACAGGGTATAGGCGACGAACTTGACGACAAAACTTCTTAGTCTCAAAATTGTTTCACCGACCAAATTTTGGACTTTTGGCGACCAATATTTTGGTAGCCAAAAGTGACATTTCTTGTAGTGACAAGAGGTATCATCTTTCCAGACTCAGCCTTACTGGTTCACTTTGCTTAAAATTATACTTATATAATAAAATCTTACTCTTGAACAGAGTAAAAGTTTACTTAAAATTAGAGTAAAAGTTTACTTACAATCAGAGTAAACTTTTACTTTGAAACTGAGTAAAATTTAACTTACTCTTGAACATAGTAAAAGTTTACTTAAAATCAAAGTAAAGTTTACTTACAATCAAAGTAAAATTTTACTTTGAAATAAAGTAAAATTTTACTTATTCTTGAACAAAGTAAAAGTTTACTTTAAGTCAGAGTAAAAGTTTACTTATAATCAGAGTAAACTTTTACTTACAATCAGAGTAAAATTTTACTTACTCTTGAACAGAGTAAAAGTTTACTTACAATCAGAGTAAACTTTTACTTTGAAACAGAGTAAAATTTTACTCTGATGGTTAAAGTTTGCTTCATTGCTGACTTCTTTTCTTTTTCTATTTTTCAAATACAGGTAAATTACAATGAACTGAAGCCCATTTCCAGAGAAGAAATGGAACTCATTCGCAATGATAAGGAAAAAGATGCATGGGACATAGAGGAAAATTTGGAGACTAAAAAAGATGAAGATCATGTAGCTGAAGCTTTAGGAGATGAACAACCTTTGAAGGACTTCATTGATCTTAGGAAATTAGAACGAGTTCAAAAGGAAAACAAGAGGCTAAAAAATGAGAATATGGCATTGGTTGAAGAACTGAAGAAAATGAAGAAAACAATGCAAAAAATACAAGAGGATCAAGAGACAAAAACAAAAGAAATAATGAAAAATATGAGCAACACAGAGAAAGAAATGGAAAAACTGAGAAAGAAGTTTGAAGTACTCGAATCTGAAAATAAACAGTTGGTTGAACAGATTGAAGAAAATGCAGTTCATGCGGCTGCCCAAGCTTTTGCTTCTAAAGAAATGTCACATGTTAAAGGAGTACAACAAAAAAAAAAAAATAGGATTCAAACTACATTGAAAGAAACACCTATAGTCATAGAGCCATTGCAAACATCCATGGTCAAGAAAATCAAAATCAAGGCGAGGAAGAAAAAAAAGATGTCTGATTTTGAATGTGAGCCAAGAGAGGCAAAGAAAAAAAAAAGACCACAAAACAAGCAATTGAAGTGATATCAAATGAAGTGATTTGTGTTGACAACTTGCCTCTAAGCCAACCAAAGCCAGTTGAAAGGGTTTTGTTTCCAGATAAGGCTGAAATATGCAAATTGCTTGATCAGAATGATAAGTGTCTACTGAGCAAGATTTACAATTTGGAAACCACAGAGTAGGACCATTTTAATTTTATCAAACAATAGATTTTTACTGTTATCAAACTATAACGTGTTAATCAACATTTTTTTTACCTTATGACTAGTGCAATCATATGGTCCGGCACAGGAAATGGAGTATATGTTACATTGCATGATGTGGATTCAATTATGAGAGATGGTGATACTGCAAATAATGTAAGTGGCCATACAATTTTCAATGACTAGTGTTCACTTCAATAACTAAAAATAGTTCATTTTATTAACATATATTAATTGATTTTTGTTTTTGTAGGTCATTGACAGCTTTGTAGAAATGCTTCAAATTAAGCAACAAGCAAAGAAGCCAGAAAAAAATAAGTCATTCTTTTTCTCAAGCCTTTGTTGGGTAAGCCATCAATTTGTGTTTAGTTTTTACTGTGGTTTAGTGTAACATTGTACTGTATTTTAGAGTTAATTTTTACTATTTGGTTTGCCAAAGATTGACAACTCATACAGTGTGTCACCAACACAACTTGAGACATGACACTCTTATATGATTAAATGCAGTCACTAGTGAAATGGGGTTATAGAGATTTAAGAGATCATTTAATTGATGAAGTGCTTGAGCAAAATTTGAGTGGATATAGATACCTTCACTTTTGCATGAACTCCAATGGGAACAAGAAGGAAGAAAAACCCTACCACTAGACACTTCTTGTATTTGACACTGAATTTGATAAGTAGAGACATTACAATTCTTCAAGGCCAAGAGACAACAGAGAAGATCCTTACCTTAAGGATGCAAAAAAAGATTATAAGTGTTTTGCATCATAGTAATAGTAATTTTTTACTGTGTTTTATTATTGTATTTAATCGTGACCAAACAATTATGCAATGATGTTAGATAACATATGTGGAGAATAAGTTGCCCAACAAAACGAGGAGAGGTAGAAGAAAGTTTGCAAACTTGGTTTTAGTGAAAGATAGTCTACAACAACGCCCAACATCGTAAGTATTTCATGCTACTACTACATGCTTGAATTGGTAGTTTTCAAATTTGACTAAATCTAACAAGTTCTTGATTTTTATTAACAGTGTTGATTGCGGAAATATTGTATGTTATATCATGCGCCAAATCATAAGAGATGAGCCTATCGCAAATTCTATGGAAGATGATGAAATTAACAATTTCTGAGCGTCAATAGTGCATCAATTTTTGAATGATTATCCAAAAGCATGGACTGAGGAACAATTCAACCTCAAAAAAAAAAATTGGGAAAAAAGCTAAGACCTCAAAGATGACAATATGGACAACTTTTGGGGAACTATTGTGAATGATGTATGTAATTTCGGTTTTTGTAAATGAAAGAATGGTGAAAAAGTAATTGTAAGTGAAAAAATACTAAAAAAGTATTAGATAGTACATGCTATGTCTATTGTTCTAGTCAATTTTACTATGGTGTGGTGATTAATACATTATTATAGCAGGATATTGTTTTGACTATGAATGAACGTTGTTATGGATAGAATACAATGATACAGGTTATACTTTTGTATCTTTGATGATATATGTAGTTATGTTGTTAGATTATTTTTGCACAAAAATTGCATAATGATCATCAGGGAAGTTTGTGTATTGTGGTAAATTTTGGTGCAAGTTGGAAATGTTTTTCTAAGGGGCTACCATACTGTTTGAAATAAAATAAAATTTTACTCTGCATAAAAGTAAAATTTTACTTTACATTGAAATATGAGTAAATTGTTACACTCTGAATTTAAAAGTAAAATTTTACTTTACATTGAAATATGAGTAAATTGTTACACTCTGAATTTAAAAGTAAAATTTTACTCTGCATAAAAGTAAAATTTTACTCTGAAATAAGAATAAAATGTTACACTCTGAATCTAAGAGTAAAATGTTATACCCTGAATCTAAAGTAAAATTTTACACTGTATAAAAGTAAAATTTTACTCTGAAATAAGAGTAAAATGTTACACTCTGAATCTAAAAGTAAAATTTTACTCTGTATAAAAATAAAATTTTACTGTGAAAAACGAGTAAAATGTTAGACTCTGAATCTAAAAGTAAAATGTTACTCTGCATAAAAGTAAAATTTTACCCTCTATAAAAGCAAAATTTTACTCTGAAATAAGGTAAAATTTTAATCTAAAAGTAACATTTTACTCTGAAATAAAGTAAAATTTTACTATGAAACCACAGGCTCATCACACCCGTAGACAACCATTCAACAACATAGTAAATTTTTATTTTGAAATGTAGTAAAGTTTTACTTTCATATGAATGAAGGTAATGTTTTACTCTGAAAAAAATAAAATTTTACTCTACAATAAAGTAAAAGTTTACTCTGAAATACTGAAAAATTTTACTTTGAAAGCACAGGTTGAGCACAGCCATTTCAAACCTTCACACCTACTGAACAAATTCTATTATAAGTTCATTTACATGAAACTTATTCAACCACATAAAAAAATATATTAAAATGTCAAATTCAACCATAAAGCAAATCAGAAACTTGAACAGATAACCATTCAAGAACATAATAAAAATGTCTTTTATTGCAATGTCTCCTTACAAATCTAGTCTAAAAGATTATACTATTATTGCTATGGATTATTTATTGCAGAAGAACTGCATTATTTTTATACTTCTATTACAAAATCAATAATGTCTTTCATGGCAATGTCTCCTTGCAAGTCTTCCTATTATGACCGTACTTCTCATATCTATCACGCTGTAGTTGTCTTATCTTCTCACCCCTGGATAGAATCCTATTCTTCCTTGGCCTACCAGGTGGCTTCTTACAAATTGGAAGAAGGACAACAAGATCATCCATAGCTATAAAAGGTTTCTCAACAGTGGGTATTGGATAAACGGACTCAGCATAGCAAGCTTTAAACTTACTAGTGTGATAAAATGGTTCCACATGTGCATACAAATCACCTCTGCTATTTTGGATAGCAGTCGCCGCGTGAGCACAAACAAATCCATTCAATTGCCATTGGTAACATGAGCAAGTTCTATTCAAGAGGTCAACACTAACCGATGGCCGGGATTGAACCTCAAAAACATGATCACTTGAACGACTAATCAACCAAGTTCTTCTACTTTTAAGAGCATTTACTAATGTTGAATCCATCTCCGGACAAAGAAAAGTATTCCATTTCTTAGCTTGTTCTCTCCTTCTCGACATCAAATCCATGATCTTAAACCTAATTGAATCAATCATCTTCGTAGTAGGCAAAAAACGAGCTTGACGGATCCATGAATTGAAAGACTTTGCCATATTTAAGTGCATTTCACCGTATTTTTGTCCTTTAAAATATGCATTAGCCCACTTGTCATAGGGAAAATTGGATAGAAACCTACAAACGATCATTTTTCCCTCATCTTGTAATTCTTTCAAACATTGATTAAAACATTCCACTGTTGGAGCATAAGCACATGAAGTAAATAAAAAAACTATTCTACTCCTAAAAGTATTGCTGAAACTTGGATCAGAGAACCTCTCCCTCAAATTGGCCTTTAAGTGTTGGAGACAAAAATAGTGGTAAGCAGTAGGTAAAACCTTGGGTAAAGCCTCCAAAAGTCCAGCGTTCCGATCAGATATGAAGGTAATTGGTCTTTCATCCAACAATATATTTGACAAATACATAAAAAACCATTCCTAACTATCTGTAGTCTCCGTATCGACAATTGTCATTGCAAGAAGGAAAAAACCTAAAAAATAACATTTTACAATTAGTAAGTATATTAAATGAAAAGGACAAATATAGTAGATTTTTACTCTGAGTAGCAGTAACATGTTACTCTGAAAATAGGTAACATGTTACTCTAAGAATAAGTAACTTGTTACTTTTGAAAAAACTATAGTAATATCTACCTTGATCCCCTATCCTTCGCTGTAGCTGTTAACAAGGTACCCTTATATTTCCCCTTCAAAAAAGTTCCATCGATAAACAATATAGGACGGCAATGCCTAAACCCTTGAATAAAAGCATTAAAAGCAACAAAAAACCTCTTGAATCGCCCACTTTGATGGTTATAGTCAAGACGCAAATAGCTACTAGGATTTGTGCTCATCACAATATCCATATATCATCGAATCTCATCATAAGACATAGAGAAATCTCCAAAAGTAGCAGTCCTAGCTTTCTCAACTCCTAACCAAGCGTGATTGTACGTAATGGTGAACCCGTATTGATTTGTAAATTGACGCACAACATCAATTGGACGAGTTTGGGGATTCCCACGAACTTCATTAACAATCAAACTTGCAACTAAATTTGAACTCATCCTTGAGTTTTTAGAAATACGAACTGCAGCTCCACAAGTATGCTCATCATGTAGAGTCCTAATGTAGAAAAAATTATTAGCACTTTCTAGAGATGCATGTACTCACCATAAACAAGCTTTGGACTCCCGCATTGAACACACAGCAGTGACCCGAAACTTCTCATTCTTCACATACACAAACTCAAATCCTATCTCAATGACATATTTACATAATGCAATCCGGAAATCCTTTGCACCTCCAATAAATTTTTGACTTGTATGAGTAATTTCATTCACCCATTCACAAGACAACAAAGTCCTTTCTTCATGTTGACAAAACATAGGGAGTAAATCCATTTCATTATCAGTAATGTTGGATCCACTAGCGTCCCCTGATTCTCTAACTCCATATTTTTCATTTGAAATGCCCATTTCAATAACCCGGTCAACACCAAGGGGATAAACAAGTGACAACATATTCTGAAAATCAGAATCATTATCAATCATGCATTGCGAATGTCCAGGTAAACAGTATGATAACAGTATACTTCTTCAATTTACAACTTAAGAAATCAGTTAAATCCTTCAGTATGCAGTTTGACACAACCTTGAACACAATAGTACGATCACCATACTTGCATAACAACATAAGAGGTGGAACCATTTTACAAATTTGCAATCAATTAATAGTAAAAATTTACTGTCAATCAAAGTAAAATTTTACTGTCACTATCAAAGTAAAATTTTACTGTCACTACAAGTCCAAAACTCAAGATTATTTTGATCTAATATCCATTCCTCATATGGTCATCTCTATCTAAGCTTTCCTAATACAAATCATTTTTAGACATTCCAGTTTGGTTTCTTTGAACATCTTAGAATATGACTTCTTTGGAATTAATGGAAGAGTCATTATGAAGTTCTCTAGGTCTAAAAATAGTTCATGCCCACCCATTTCCACCTCTTGACAGTAAAATTTTACTGTCATTCTAACACTAGAGTAAAATTTTACACTCGTTCTAAACAGAGCACGTACCAGAGTAAAATTTTACTCTAATTCTCTCAAATAAGAAACAGAGCAGTAGAACCAGAATAAAATTTTACTCTCATTCTCTCAAATAAAAAACAGAATAATAAAACCAGAGTAAAATTTTATTCTGAATCTGTCAAACGAAATCAGATCAAACACAACAAAAATAAATAATAAAAAAAACAAACAAACAAATAAAAACAAAAAAAAAAATTAATCAAAAAATCAACATACCTAATTGAGAAGAAAAACTTCTAAAACTCGATCAACAGTCACAAATCTCAATGAAACTCTCGTTTAATTGAGAGTGTTGATCATCCACAGCGAGATCGTCTATCGTTGACCAAGTGAGAGATCTTCGGCTGCAAGATCTTCAGATTTGGAGATCGTCTTCATCGATTTCGTTTCTGATTTCGCAAATTGTAACAGATCGTATTCAGATTTCAAATATTTCAAATATATGATACGTATATACAGAAGGGCAATATTGCCATAAAAAAAATAGAAATTATAAAATGTCCTTATTAAAGTAGTCATTTCCTACTTAGGGGCTTTTTGAAAAGAAATTGATTGGGTTATCCTTAACCCTAATAAAAAGGCCCAAAAGAGAGGTTTCACCAAAAATTTCTTATTTTAATAATTTTTTAGCATTTTACGAAAAATGTACAAAAAAAGTAAAGAAAATAATGTAATAACTTATAGTGACTTTTTGACTTTTTAATTAAAATTGAAAGTTACTAAAGGAGACCTTAATTTATGTATTAATTAGTACACTAATTAGAAGTTTTAACATTATTGTTTTGATTGAGACCATAGGGCTAAATTTCTAATCTCTTGATAGTTTCTATTTTGACTTCGTTTGGGATTAGAGAAGAGAAGGGAATCAATTTATTGAGCAAGAGAGTGAAAGCTTGGAAGTATTGGATATACTTTTGGGGGTGCTAGGACTCCTTCCTGTCACTGTCTAGGGACTTAAAGAAATATCTTTAAAATTGAAACCACGTCTGTTTAACTATTTTTTTGTTGGTTTTGTTTTGCTTTATGAATGATAGGGTTAGATTAACAATTCAGTAGACCACATATTATTTAGTTGGCAATAATAACGTAGGATAAGAATCTCATGGGATTGCTACAATCCAATCCGATGAATTGCCATGGAAAGAGCTTGCGTGTGAATCAACTCCTCATCTGCAAGCAATTTGCGCTGTGATCCACCCATTCTCTTGCTCTTCGATCCATTATTGTCTTTCGCGTCCTTCTTTGTCATGCAAATGAATCGATTACACATTTCGTTTCTGCTCTTTTTTGGGTATTCTGTGGCAGATTTTGACATCAAATTCCTGAGAAGGAGGCAGATTTTAGGGAAGAGAGAGAGAGAGAAGGTGAGGAGAAACCCAATGTGCGGGGTTTCTCAAATTAAGTCAAATTAACAATTTAATTTTTAAATTAGGTTTAGTTTGGACGGAATTTTCAAATTAGGTTAAAGCGCTATTACAAATCACGCTTTCACTGTTTCTAGGACCCTTCCGTGAAAAATTTGTAAAATAGTAAAAGCGTGGTTAAGAAAGCGTGTTTACAAATCACGCTTTTAACAAAAAAAAAATTTCTAGAAAACATGGTCAGAAAGCATGCTTTTAAGCAAAATTTGTTTTCTTCAGAAAACGTGGTTTCAAACCATGCTTTTACTATGCTTATAATTAAATTTTATTTTTTGAAGAAAACGTGGTTTCAAACCACGCTTTTACTGTGTTTATAATTAAATTTTGTTTTTTGAAGAAAACGTGGTTTCAAACCACCCTTTCACTGTGCATAATTGTTTTCTTAAGAAAACTTTTAAAATATATCAAAATGTGATCAAAATAGAACTTGAGTTCTCTGTAACTCAAATGGTAGTGTATTTGTTTTGCTTTGGCAGAGTCAATGGGTTCAATCCACGACAACTCCAAACGGTTGCTACTAGGGGTGGAAAACGATTTATCCGAACCGCTCAAACCGCCCAATCCGCCCAACCCGCATATAAATGGGCGGTTTCGCAAACATAATGCGGGCAGATGCGGTTTGAAATATAACAAATTTGCGGGTTGCGGGCGAGTCGCGGTTTAAACCCGCAACCCGCAAAAACCGCCGCACTTTAATTATTATTATTATTATTACTATTATTATTATTATTATTATTATTATTACTTTTTATATACCAACTTTGTAACTTTTACAAGAGCACCATTATATACACTATAGGATCCTTATTTTTAAGTATTTCTCAACTTTCTTAATGCCGTAGAATTATCAAGTCCTAAACTTGGTTTCTTATATGATTTTCATTGGTGATTCATCCACTTTTTCCTAATAAAATTTTCCTTCTAATGGTCGATGGAACTTATAGTTTGATTATTGATTACTGAACTGGCAATTCTAATTGAGTACAACCTTTAATGCATTGATATACATTTTTTTCATGGTAAAAATGCTAGTGTAGGGTCTCTTTGTTTTGGGTACTTTCATTTAATGCATTGATATTCAACTTTTATTTGTAAACTCATCAAAAAATTATTATCACAAATATATAAAATGAATTTGATGCCTAAATTCGCTGAGAAAAAAAAACTCGAAAATTAATTTTTAAAGAAAAAAAGTATAAACCGCAAACCGCCCGCAACCGCCCGCGCATTTGCAAACCTTATCCGCACAAATCGCAAACCGCACTGCGGGCGGTTACGGGTTGACTTTTTCCCAAACCGCATAGATGCGGGCGGGTCAAAACCGAACCGCAAACCGCACAAAACCGATCCACGAACACACCTACCCACAACCCCTTTGTGATCTACACCATTCATGATGTGGACCCCACATATACATGAGTGGACCCCACACATCATGAGTGGTATAGATCAGTGAGGGGGTCGTGGGGGTCCTTCACAAAAGAGGGTCTAACTCATTTTTCAAAGACTAATGATTGATGCCTCAAATTTTTTGACTCAAATTTGGCTCGAATTTTTTTTTTTTTTTTTTTTTGCTGGGTTGATGCTTTGCTTGTTATTATTATTTTTATTTTTATTTATTTTTTTCTACAATGTATTAGCCCAGAAAAAAAAAATGCATTCGAGACAATTTCGAGCCTCATTTTCGAGGCCTCAATCACAGCCGTTTTAAAAAACCTCAAACTAAACATCAAAGTCTTCAGTGAAAGCGTACTCAAAAAATGTACTCAAAATATATTTTTTCGGCAAAATGTACACTTTTAAAATGTACTAAAATATTTTAATATTTTAAAAGCGTACATTTTTTAATTTTTTCATGAATATATAAAGTATAGAGTGAGTGGAAAAATACCAAAAAAAAGTGTACTGCAAAAATTAACACAAAATATTAATTTTTTCAGCAAAATGTACTCAAAAAATGTACTCTTTTAAAATATTTTAGTACATTTTGCTGAAAAAACATTTTTGAGTACGTTTTCACTGTGCATAATTTTTTGAGTACATTTTGCTGAAAAAAATGATAATTTGCTGAAAAAATACTAAAAATACAAAAATATTTTTTCAGTACATTTTTTGTATTTTTATGTATTTATTAATTTTTTTAAATATTTTTTCACAAATTTTTTACTTTTTAGATACATCTAACTAAGGTGTATCTAAAAAAGTAAAAAAAGATGTTTAAAATTTTTAAAATATTCACTAAAAATAAAAAAAAATACGAAAATAAAAAAACTCAGTTTTCAAATAATTAAATCCAAAAAACTCAAACTAAATACACTGAATACTTTTTAAACAATTATGTTGACATTTTG